CCTTTTTAATTGTCATATTGTTTTATACATATGGAACCTTATAATTACTTACAATATTTAATAAATGATTTTTGGAGAACTTACTTTTTTCTTAATAGATTTAAGATCCTATAAAAAAAAATAATTCCGTTTATATTATAATTAAAGCATATACTTACTTTAATTATATTATAATTAAAGCATATACGCGAGATATTTCCGATTAATAATTTTAAAAAATATGAGATGAAGAGAAAATTTTTCTTTAAAACTATAAATTTGAAAACTATAAAAAACCTACATATGTAGCGTGCCACGTTCTACAATTTAATAATTTTGTGTATGTAATTTTTTATGTTATTTATTTTTATTTCTCATATTTTTCCCGTATAAGATAAAAATGTTTTTTAAAGATTATGCACGTAATATTTATGTATATATATTGAACATTATTGCAATATAAAATGTAAGTACTTCCGTGTTAGACACGAAAATCACGACTAGATTGCATCTTTTGTGCTATATAAAGCTCTCGCACGTCGCCGACAAATCAGAAGTGTACGTACAGGTGAAAATAACTTGAACTTCAATAAATATTTAAAAATGGGAATGTCATATCTATCGATATTGGTTCTTGCTATAATTTTCGTTATGGCGATCATGGATGCATCCGAAGTGGAAGCAAAAGCTCAGTTTCCTTTTACACCGCGGCCCTTTTTACCTTGGATCAAACCGACCGATGTAAGCAATTTTTGTAGTTAAACCTCTATAGTGTTGTAGTTAAAATGCGTTTTTCCGATTTAGCAAAATATGAAAAATTTTCTCTGTCTCTTCATCTCATATTTTTTAAAATTATTAATCGGAAATATCTTGCGTATATGCTTTAATTATAATATAAACGGAATTATTTTTTTTATAAGATCTTAAATCTATTAAGGAAAAAGTAAGTTCTCTAAAAACACATTTATTAAATATTGTAAGTAATTATAAGGTTCCATATGTATAAAACAATATGACAATTAAAAAGGATAGAAAGCATAGAACCAATATTAAATATTAGATATTAAAAAAATCAAGAACAAGTTTTATAATATATCATTATTAATGGATAAATGTTTCAGATTTATCAACTATTTGGGAAACTAATTTCATCAAAGCCGATTCCTTACATCAAAACATGAAAAAGAGTTCAGATGAACGTATATTAGCAAATCCACTATTATTAATAACTAGATGGCTTCCACGATACCACGACCTAAATTCTCTAGATTTTTATCTGTTGGGTCACTTAGGACCTTGATTTATGAAGTTCCAATTGCCAATAAAGATAAGCTACGCCAACGCACCTTTGGTACTTGTGACATCATTCGCAACTATCTCGGGATCTTTGAAAGAGTGCGATAATTCATAATCCGATATATCCAAGCGTGTATTGAATCAAGTGGGAGATAATTCGAACATTTGTTGTAATTAAAATTTGAAATTAAATAATATTAAATGTTAATAAATATTACTTTATTTTTCTTTATTAATAAATATCTTGAGCTGCATCTCAGTTTCAAAAGCATACAACAAATCTTGAAGTTAGTAAAAAAAAGTATTTAAGAAAATATTTCGAATACTATAGAGACTTTATTAAAATTTCGTAATTATATCAAATTGAGACGTTAATTTTTAATTATATGTTTTAATGATGAAGAAAATATGTATGTCTCCCAGTGGCGATTTATTGACAATATTTGATTAAATATTAAGGATTTATTGAACCAATGTAAGGCCAATATTGTACCAATAAATTGTGCTACTAGAGTTATATATAGTTTATATGTATACGTTATATACATATTTTTTAACTACTACTTTTTTAAGGTTTCCTCGTTGAATGTATTATAGATAAAAATGTAAAAATAGGTAAAACGTAATAATTTTTCAAATATGTTCCTAGTAAACGAGAATAAATTAAAATTAATTGAAATTTTATCTACCCAAATACGTATTTTAAATAGCGAGAACTTTTTTTAGATTCAATTGAAATAATTCCAAATTAAATTGGATTTAATTAAATACTACTGGAAAACAGTTCAAATTGGGTTAAATTTGATAGCCAAATCTATAATATCAAATTTAACTCAATTTAATATGTTTAATTCCATTGTTTTAGTATAAAATATTGAGTAACAGCAGAGAGGAGAGAGTTTAAATTAGGTTAACACCCTTAAATTCTATTGCGGGTCCAAAAGATCCCAAGGCTTTTTCAATCGTATATATGTTTTATAATCTCGCTATGAATCGAACTTCTGACTTCATCTACCGTTAGTTTAGATCCCCAACTACTAATTGAAAAGTTCGCGGCAAGTCGGTCTCTGTATAGCAGCCGAGCAGGAACGACGCATTTCGATACGGAGTACAAAATACCCCAATGTGTCATTTACGTTGCAAAGTCGAAGCGATTTTTTTAATTCACGTTTTTGTGTAAATTTCATCATTTTGAATTGGAAATATTACTGTGCGTGCTATAAAATTTTCTTAGTGTTGTAATTATAACTTTTTCGTGAATAATTAGATGAAGTATAATTTGTAGGGATGCATCAGATCGTAAAATTACTGGACACCGGATATCGGATATCCGGACAGAATGGCTAAGTCGTAACCGACGGTTAAATCATACCTCCATTGTATATTCTAAACGAAACATTTTTTTTTACATATATTGACACTGATGTGACGCTGGTAATATGGGTTAAGAACTATCATTTTTGTTTTGTCTTCGAGTCTGTTTACGAGTGACATTCAAAATTGATTTTGTTCGGTATCTCATCTAAGTTTTGGTACAATTTACCTAAGGCGTTGTTGTATCGAGAAGTCGCGAGGGAAGAATCGATAGATCGAGAGATCGAGAGAACCAAGACGAGAGGGTTAGAGGTTGGATGTAAGATTATCGACGTGTTATAATAAAAGGGTTATTATCACGAATCCCGAACGTTACTGTTGAACACCCGACCTTT